TAGAGTGATGATTTAAAGCTTCTTAGTTGAAAAACAAGATATCAAGCCCCGCTCTAAAAATTTATAAGCGGAAAATCAAGGATATCAAACACCATCTAAAATCGAAAAAATCACACTACCTGGTTGTTCACATACTCTTCAATGTTGGATTGGAAGGGATCTCCGATGATCTTGAAGTGTGACTTGGCAATATCAACAACGAGAGGGATGGTTTTGTCCTCAAGGTTGCCAAACCGTAGGGCCACCGCCATGGCAGTGGAGTTGAGTTTTGCCACAATCCAAGAATGCTCAGAGGCGGGAATGACAGCTTCCGTGAGAACCATAGCCACCTCATTGAAACTTGTGATCAAGTCACAAAGCACGTTGTTATAGTTGTTGGCAGAAAGTATGAGACTTTTGGAAAAGTGTGGATCTTCATTTACATTGCAGTGAAAGACCCACATGTTGGTTTGACGGGAAATGTAGTGAAGGCTAGTCACATTCCGGACGGTGATCTGAATGAAGAAGGCATTCACCGGAGGATTTTCAACGCCGTTGAGAATAGCGTTGTTTAGAAACACATGGCAGTGGTACTGAGAAGAGATTATGATTGAACTCAAATCCATGGCAATTGAAACTAGATAATTGAAACTAAACTTTAAACTCCTCTGGGTTCACATTTAAACTAGATCAATACAGTCGGGTATATATAGGGGCGTTTGTTGGTCCGATTTTCTCGGTTTTTGGTTTCATCGGTTCGGATTAATTTAGGTTAGTTCCATATTAAGAAAGGTAAAACCATAAGTCAAACTAACTACATTTAGGGTATGTTTGGCACAACTAGCTAAAAAGATACTTTTATGAACTTTTTAATAATTGTTAGCTTTTAGTAACCGAAAAGATCTTAAAAGAAAAATGTTGTAGTTGTTAGATAAAAAGATGACCGTTAAATTTAGTTATGTTTGATATAACAAGTGACTAATTAAAGCTAAAAGCTACTGATGTTCTCCCAGATGCTACTTACCGTAGCATCTCAAAAAAGATCTTTTATTTTGTACAAAACTCTTAAAAATTATCCTACCAAACATACAACTAGAAGCTTTTGAAGATTTTTGTAAATTATACAAAAGCTAAAAGGTAGGAGCTTATGCCTACCAAACATGACCTTAGTCAGTCGACTTTGGTTCAGTTATTTTCAGTCGGTTTCGGTCGATTTTGGCATGTTACAAGTTGCTTCAGTCATTTTTACAAGCTTAATCCTTAAACCGTGATTCAAATCGCATATCTTTGACCCGTTTTCATCGATTTGATTAGTTTGTCAATCGTTTTTAATTTAGTTTATGAATTTTTTGTTCGGTCATTACTATGTATACCTCGGAAACGATAAGGTCAAAGCAAGCTAGCATTGTTTAATGGGAAAACTGTCAAATAGGTCCTCGAACTTTCATAAAAAAGTCAATTAAGTCCTTCTATAGGAGACTCTGTCCGGTCGTCGCGATTTGGGGCGGTTCCCGGTGGAATTTTTTGATGAAATTGTTTGAGCATCTTATTCATCAAGTCTAGTTTACTCATACCAAATTTCAACTAAAAATTCAATCGGGAGCGCATTCAAATTAATTCGAGAACGCAAAAATGTGCAGTTATCTTTATGAATTAATTTACTACGGTACATATGTGAAATTTACCTTACATTTCCGACATTTGAAGGTGGTTGTGGTGTAAATTTGAAGGGAGCAAACCAACTGAAGCAAACCAACCGTAGTAAATTTCACATATGTACCTTCAAATACACCCTCACAACATCAAAGTAGTTAGTGTAAGCATCGCTCGGGAATTGGATCGCCATTTTCATTCACTTCTTTACCCATTTTCTCATCTAAAGAGTCTCTAGTACTCAAAGTATATGAAAGAATTCTTTCAAATTCTTTGATTAAAAATTGAGACAATGAGTCCACTCCATTGGCCACATATAAAGCTTTGGAAGAAATACACTTAAAAAATAGGAGTGATCTAACCGAGCACATGAAATTTGGTCGAATTGGTTAAAAACCGAAACCCATAATTCCTGGAGAAATGCTAGAGGTACACACTTTGTGTACACATTTTGTGTACACTCGTCTGTCTCTTAAGAAAATTTTGTCTGTCACAGACAACTCATATATGAATTGTCTGTGACAGACAAAATTTTCTTAAGAGACAGACGAGTGTACACAAAGTGTGTACACAAAGTGTGTACACAAAGTGTGTACCTCAAGCATTTTTGTAATTCCCGATAGCATAATCGAAGGGACTAATATAGTCCATAAAAGTTAAAGCTACGTGCTGGACAAAGAAAGTAATAGGATATGATTTGTTTTATGATAAGCGAATGATTATTTCATTTCTTACAATCATTGCTAAATAACTAATGACCAATCTAAAGTGTCACCAACATGTGATGTAGGTCTGTAAAACATGTACCCACAAGATGTGATGTAGGTGTGCATGCAGCATGTTATACCTAGTCCAATGCTCAAGCCCATTCAAATTCTCCTCTTGGTTGTATGCTTGCAAGGAGTACCTCACAAAACAATGTGTGTGTTTGATTTTGTATTCTAACAATATAGGAGGGAAGGCACCATACTTGAATGGTTTATATTGCCTGTGGCCACCCGGTCAAGCAATCCGAATCCGCAAATGACGTGCTTCTGAATGGAGTTTGCATTGTGCGTAACTAACTTGTGCCGTGTGCGTAAGGATGTTTTTACTTGGACTGTAATTTGTTGGTCTAGCGTGATCTGGTAATGTCTGGTTTCTTTATATTTTTATAACTATCCAAGTTTGATCTGGTCTGAAACAAATTACAATCCAAGTAAAAACATCTTATGCCACAACCTCAATCGACTTATTAGTGTAGTAGTCTATGGCAATAATGCACAACTTCCTTCCCCTAAAATCATTTGACATTGAGCCAAAGATGTCTAATCTGATCTTAACAAAGAGAATGCCAGCAAATAGGGATGGAGCTACCTTGTTAGTCAAGGCCTCAAGGGACCATGCAGGGTCAACTAATAGCAAGTGAATTGGGTTCTATAGAACAGGGGCCCACATTTCATGGGGGCCCCATATTTTTATGCAATAGTAGTACTCTGTAGTTTTTATTCCTATGCCACTCCTCATAATTATTAGTAGTAAACTAGTAATATAATAAATACAACAAGGAGTACTAAATTAATAATACCGAGTATACATTGCGCATCAAGGTTGTGGGCGCTTTTTTTTATTATTATTATTTTTTTTGATGAAAATGTCCGTGTATTTTAAACATAAGATATTTTTTTTTGAAGAAAGAATTTTATTTAAAACAATAGAAAGTACAAGAAAAGAGGAAGAGGGAAGCGACAAGAAAGCAAGGTTGTGGGCACTTGTGGCTATTATTGTACTAAATTATTATTGTACTCCCTCCGATTCAAAAACAAGTTCCACATTTGACTTCACACATATTAAGAAAAGAAATTTGACTTTACTGTGGAGTGCACTGTTTGGCACTGTTTGAACACTGTTTGACACCGTTTGATATAGATAATTTGTCAAATAAGGAAAGGTTTGAAAGTGGAACTTAATTTTGGAATTGCCCAAAAAGGAAAGGTGAAACTTGTTTTTGAATCGGAAGGAGTAGTTTATTGTGTAATTTTATGCTTTTTGCTTAGGACCAATATATAAATCACAATTTTAACATAAGCCCTAATAGGCAAATATGCGTTAATTTGGTATCGGAGATCTAACTTTCCTTGATTAAAATGTCATTTTCCCAATCTGTTAATTGTGTATCAATTACTTTTAATTAATTGTTCCAATTAAAAACTATTATTATTGGTATTCGGTGATTTGTTAGTTTTTAAAATACTTTTTTTGCGTGACTTTTTCACTATAAATAAGTGGTTATGCGATTTTATTCTAAATTATGTGTGGCTAGCTTTTTAACTTCATAATTTCTATTGAGAGAATTCCCTAAATAGGAGTAAAAATGTTTTGAAATTTCAAAATAGGAGTATCTTATTTTTTATTCCCTATATAAAAGTAAATTTCTGCCAAGTTTGGCATTACAAAGCTTTTAACATGACATTTTTTCCCAAACTTGACAGATTACTCTTATTCAGAGAATAAAAAATATGATACTTCTATTTTAGAATTTCAAAACGTTACTCCTATTTAGGGCAATTTCCATTTTAAAGCTAATTGACAATCTTCGTGATATGCAAGAAAGACGTTCTTAATTATAACTGACATGTAGTTTTATTTTAGACCTATGAATATTATAAATGAATATTAATATATCATTTTTATTGCTACGATATTTTTAGATTTATGTTTTAATACTGGTATCTGGTATTTGGCCCTGGCCCCGATTCGAGCCATCCTTGTACTAAAGTCTGGCTCTGGCCCCACCAGGAATACTAGGGTGTAATAGGCCTTGAGCCCTAACACTAGGAGGTACATTTGGGAGACCTCACATATCTTACTGAATTTTTCTTGAAAGTCTAGGTACATTTGAAAGTCTTAATCCAAAATTGCGTTTTCTTAACCACTAGAAAAATATTCACTTCTAACAAAAGTTAAGTTTATGATTGGTTGGCATTTACCACATCAAAATATTCAAAGGAAAATAAACTACTAGGTGGTAAATATTGTTAAAGTTCATATTTTTATTCAAATAAATCATGTCAAAGGTATATCATACTCTAGATTAACTAAAATTGATATAAGTACAACCTGTTTTTGTGATTGCCAAATGCTACACTAGAGATATATACGGAGTATCACACTCTAGATCAACCAAAAGACTATTCTTAGGTCCGTTCAATTGAACCAAACTATTTTGTCCAGCTCTAAGTTAAATGACTGAATTTCTAGTGGAAAATAGTTTTGTATCATTCCTATTATATGTTCAAATATTGGATATTATTGCGAAAAAATATGGAACATGGCATAAAACACGAATATATAGAACATGGTATAATAATAGCTTTATACGCTTTAGGTGATACCGTGACACCATCCACCATGCTTTCCATAAATAAAAAACCACATGAATATGTGGAACATGGTATAATACCTTTCATATTACAAAAAAATGGCAGATCTTTTTGACTGTTATGCACAATATAAGAAATATCGTAATCAAATATAAGCAACCGAACCAGAAAGCCTATACGTAGAGACTAGAGAATAAACTAACCTTGTATTACATCACTAGAAAACTATCACTAACCTCCAGTCAGCTGCCTAAGCTAACTGCTCATACTCCTAGTTTTGAATCATCAAAATAGGAATCAGGTATCTCCGGTTGAGATGAGAGCAATGACACACATTTGAACTGTTACATAACACCACACACAGAATTCATATAAATACCAATGTCACACAAAAAAACACTTTGCACAGAATAAGAAATATTGTATTGGCAAACACACCTTATGCTGCTTGTATTTTTCTCTTATGGCGAACAAGTCACAGCCCCTTCTACTTAGTTGCAAGTCATGTATGATAAGAACACAATCTTTCACATCAGATGGTTTATAACCTGAATAATGTGTGAGTGCTTGACTCTGCAATACACACATCTAGATCAATACTTTAACAGTTGAGCCATATGTAACTGTATACATGGGATATTTTATTATGGTCATCTTTTTAGTAGTAACAAAAATGGTCCAATAGTTAGGACCCTTACGAAATTTGGTAGTTTAGTTCAAAATGGCCCTGGATGTCATCTATACTTTACAGGAAAAGTATATCACATTGTATTTAGTTTATTTTTGTTTGCTAATGTTGACCATTGATTTTACGCCCAATGTGAGAGTTATATGCCCATACAAACATGTACTAAACAAAAAAAGACCAAAATAGGCGGCACATATTCAAATGCAGTTGATATTTTAGCCAAAATTCCTCAAATTAAGCAAAAAATAAGAATTACTAGGCCAGATGTGAAAATGATCCAAGCTACAGGGCCATTATGGGTACTGCCTAGAAGATACTACGTACAAGACTTAACAAGTAGTTTCCCCTAGAACTGTGCAGGGCAATTAAAACAATATACATACCCAGGGATGGAGGTTAGGTTGAATTGTAAATCTTGAAAGGAATATAACTGCAGAAGCTATCAATGAAGGTAAGAACTGAAGGCAGCAATAGTCCAACAAACTTAACTCCGCTAGGTAGTAACCTAAGAACTCTAACTGCAAGTCTGGAGTCTGCATGAAATACTTATTAGTAGCACATCATTTTAAAATGGCTTAGTCCAAACAAAATAAGTTTGCGAGCTTACTTCATTATTTCCTTGTGCAAATCGGGTAAGCCTTCTGCATAAAATAAAACGAAATCCCAAACAGTCAAAGAACATTTCATTGATTCTTAAATCTTAATAACAGCCCATAATCCCATATGTACTTACTCTGTTCTTTTTTGATTGCTAAGTTTCCATTTTCATGTTTGTCAATGAACAACTTTGACCATTGATATATTTCATACTCCGTACTTAATTAGTAAAAACTTAAAAAAATCAGATTTTAAAATTTTAAAATGAGAGGAGTGTAACAACATTTTTCAAAAACTAAATTTCTAATACATTAACAAATAAAATGCAGCAAAAAGTAGAGCATGTAAATAGTGTAAATTTAACATGTTGCATCTATTTAAGAATGGAGGTGTATAATTCAAACAAAGCAATAGCATTAAAGGAGCTAAATAATACCTAAGAAATGTCTTGACAGTCGGACTTCCCATTTCAAACTTCAGAAATTTAAGGAGATATGCCTCCATTTTAACAACTTCAGCCCTGGTATATGTGTTGTCTGTAATGTAACAAAAGTCTTCAACATGTGGAGGACTAATCTCCTCGTACTTCCTGTTAGTGATCAGAAAAAACACGTATTTAAGCTTTGTCTTTAATGCCTAATCCCTTGAACAAAATGATTCAATAACATAAAATTTATGCTTACGCAGCAATAAGCATGGAAGTCACACCCAAAAGTTGAAGATTTTGGCGGATAATGGCATTTGTGGACAGGAATCTATCAATATAGGCAACAGAGAGATGGAGAGTATCAGAGAGCAGTTTGTATTCCTCTGCAACTTCAACCAACCAATCTACCAAAATCCCTCTCATATTAGGACTGATATCTCTCTGGACCCTTTCAAAGTAGTCAGGCAATGGCCTTCTTTTCTCCTGTGCCTGAATTGCAAAACCTTAACTTAGTTCACACCCGAATACTTAATAATCAGACCAGACCAGACCAGACCAAAGTAAATACTTGTACTAAAAGTTCTAATAATCAAGATAAAAATATGCACAGGATCACTGTATTAACACTATTGTTCCTTTGCTTTTGAACTTGAACTGAAACCCATCAAATCATTCACATGTACAGAAAGGAAAAATCGAAAAAGAACAGTTTCAATTAATTTCTTATCAAACACAGTCAAGGCATACACTAAAGAATCAAAATGAAGGGCAAAAGAGCTCAGCATTCACCTCCAGATGACGCAAATACTCGTAAATCTGAGAAACGTATGCAGAACACATCTGTGGGTCATCAGATTTCGCGTCAATTTCTACTTCATCTTCCTGACATTTCTCAACCGCTGTAACCTTTTCAGCGCTCACATCCTTCAGAGTCTTCAACTTCTGCTGTCTAGGTTTGGGTTTCGAATTGTCAAAAATCTGATTCACGCCGACATTTGGGTCATTCTTAATCTCTCCCAAAACCACTCTCTTCTTACTGTGATGCTCCTGTTCAGCCGCCATAGCCTCCGCTGCCCTCTTCTTCGCAAGGCGCGTTACCCTCAAGCAATTCTCTTTGTCCGCCATGGCAAACGCCTCGAACTGACACAGTTATACTTCACAGATCAGCGGATGGTTGCTAGATTGTTGGAGAGGAATGTGGGAATTGCTTATTAGCAGCATATGATTGCTTTGTTCGAAAAGTTAACTTGCCCGCGCTACCGTTTTGGGATTTCGTCGTTACGAATTTTGGGCACTGAATTTTGGGAATCGAGGTTTGGGTCAAGAGCAAATTTATGAGGGTGGGCGGTTTACATGGATGGTGGGAACCATGTGAATTGCTTGATAATGGTGACTGAGTTTGGTGAACGAATGATTACGCGGTCAAGAGCTTCTCGATCAAGTCTCTCACACGGGACTTATGTAGTCAGAGGATATTCCGCTCAAACGTGAATTTATTTGGGTATTTTCATGTGAGAATTAATTAGGATAATTTTTTAATTTCATGTGAGGCATTTTTCAGAACTAGTTTAATATTTTTTGAAAGGAATCATCTTCTTTAAAAAAAAGGTAGACTCTACTTGCTTAATTATTACGTAGTATTAATAAAGATAACAAAAACAATTACAATTATATAGTCAAGACTAAATAAAATGGCACATAGTAATGGACGATTCAAATCGAAAATGCCGAAACGCTAATCCCGCAAAAAAATAAACTCTATCTGCTTATCTGCTACGATCACAATAATTTTCAAACAAAGTAATAAACATCCTGGTTTGTCAAGTCACTCGTAATGAGCCAAATGTAGAATTTGTTTCGGTTTCACCAGTCACAGAAGAAAAAGCACATCATGTGATCTCATCTTACTGGAACGGTGCTTCAAGAGGGGGGTGATCCATCTCAATATTGGCCAGAAGAATTTCATATTCTTGATTGATGGAAAGATCAGTGAAATCCTCTTATTAGCACAAAAGAACGGTTGACCGAAAATGACAGGGAATATGTCTTTGGCAGACGATACTTTGTCATTGAAAATAATATCCCTATACAACGTTGGGAAAGAAACCTATAGATAAAATTAAAAACACTTGTTAAGAAGATGGCCTTTTTATTCCAATATTACTAAAATGAATGAAAAAGATAAAAAAGTGACATGTTTTAAATTTTTCAAAAAATGTGACTAAAAGTCATTTATTCCTTATTATTAATCATATATTTATTATTTTAATATTCCTTTTACACATTTGATTAATAGTCATCTTTGGTAGCCACCAGCACCTCTAGAACCCAGCACCACCTCTGCCGCCGCCGCCGCCACCAGCACCGCCGCCGCCACAAGCAGTCACTATCTCAGTGACACCGAACAAAGTGACTTTGCCCAAAGTGACTCCGACCACAGTGACTCCGCCGCCACAGTGACTCGCCGCCATAGTGAGTTAGTGACTCCACTGCCATAGTGACTCCGGTCACAGTGACTCCACCGCTACAGTGACTCCACCGTAAGAGTTACTCTGCCACCCCCCGACCAGTCACTGCCGTCGCCCCGGCCAGTGACTGTTGCCGCTCCCGGCCAGTGACCGCCGTCCCCGGCTAGTCACTGTCGCCCTCCATTACGCCAGATAATTTTCCGGCGGCCATCCAACCAGAACCACCAACTACCATCTCCTTAGCTAGATTGCCCATTACCCCTATCCCCCTGCCTCTCTTACCCTGCAAACTCATCCTTACCGTTCAGCACCAATCACCCACAAACGTTCATCCCCAAACCCCAAAATCATCACTCCCCCAACCTCCAGCCCATCAACACCAGCACAATCTCAGCCCCAGCCAAGAGATCTCAGCCCCACCAATAGATCTCAGCTCCAGCCCATCACCACCATCGTACCCCTAGCCGTCGTTCACCACCTTCGTAACTCCGGCCGCTCCTTTCACCTCAAATATGAAAAAACGAGAAGAAGAAGAATAGAACCGGGCGGCGAGTTGGAGGCCGGTTGAAGCGGCGATAGAGGTGGTGACGTCGGATGCCAGCGGATCAGAAATGGAGACCATAAGGAAGGAGAAGGAAGGCGGCGGGGAGGCGGCTGGAGTGAGGTGGAGCAGCGGGGAGGCGGCTGGAGTGCGGTGGAGCGTCGGAGCATTGGCGGCTGGAGTGCGGCGGAGCGGCGAGGTGTGGGTCGGCGACAGATGGAGAGCTGCGAAGGAGAAACGATGGATGCTGCAATAGGGAAGGAGAACTAATGGATGCCGCAATAGGGTTTGAGAGAAAAGCTGGATGCGGGTCACTTTTGTGGGAAAAGTCAAACTTGCTATATTTTTGGAAATGAAAAGTTAGATAGTTATACGCCTGCCATTTTTTCTAAGAGGATCTTTTTCCATTATTGAATAAAAAATAATTGGAAAAAGGGAAGAAAAGAAGAGAAAGGGAGGAGACAACGGCTACGTTTCTCAATTGCCGCTCCTCTCTCTTCAATGGCTAGATCTTGAACCGCTTATTAGTTGGGTACCATAGAAATCATTTTTATTGAATTGGTGTAATATGATCTTATTTGATATGTTCTTGTTTAGTTAGAATTTCTATAATGTATATTTTGTTTTATTATTAATTAAGTCTAGTATATTTAATGGTGATCTGTTAGTTATATTACCTTTGTTCCAATGGACATTACACACTTTGAATTATGTGAGAAATAAGAAAAATAAAAATGTGTGATTCATATACTACGTATTTGTGTGCAAAGGATAGAAAAATGAGCAGAATCACAAATTAGTTACTTTAAAGAGAAAGTGACAATATTTTTGTGAACAACAAAAAAGGGAAAATTGGTAAAGTCCAATGGGACGGGGTACTATTTAAGTTGTTCTATTCTTATCAATGATAAAATTGATAAAATCCGATATTCTCTTGAAATCTTTTCCAGTGAAATCACTCAAACTGTGCGCTCAAAAACGGGGGCTCGAGAAGCATAAAAGTTGTTCGATTCACTCTATTTCATACTACCTCCGTTCTTAAATAAGTGCAACATTGCAAATTTTACACTATTCACATGTTCTACTTTGACTACATTTTATTCATTGATGTATTACAATATATTTTGGAAAAAATATTATTAAATTTGTCTCATTGTAAATTTTCAAAATCTGATTTTTTTTAATTTTTTTTACTAGTAGAGAGTTATATATATTAACGGTCAAAGTTGCGTCTCGTCAAATGTGAAATATTGATTGTTACACTTATTTAAGAACAGAGGTAGTATATGATATTACTACATTTCCTTTTTTAGCCTTTTCACGGAAATATTATTGATTCAATTCAAAGAAATAAATTTGAGGCTAAAGTTAATTTTTTTTATCTATACAAACTTCAACCACACAATTTTTACTTGATTACTTTACATATATATCAACTATTGCCATGTTTTATGGAACATAGAGATTATGAGATAAACTTTTCACTAATGCACATTGTGACTTGTGAGTACTGTATGCACATTGAAACTTTTCACATAATGAATATGAAAATCTTAAATTATGTGACAATATCTTTTCACTAATATCAAGATGAACAGAAAATTATTTCATATTCTACTCTGTATAACTTATCGATATTGTCATTAAAATATCAAACTAGTAATCTAATCTAACAAACTCATATTTGTGAACGAGGGTTAGTAACCTTAATTTGTGTCAATATACTTTAGGCATTAGATCATATATATTGTTTTTAAAAAATGGAACTATACTTCTCCAATTGGCTTACTAGAGTTGTATGTATCTAAAAATCACTCTATTCACTCTATATATCTAGGTTTAATTTAGACAGAATCTTTTAAAAAATTAATATACGTACTACAAGAGCTAGAGGATATTAAATATGAGACTGCAGATTGCAATCTTATGTTGAGATTGGTGGCAGTTCTCTCCATCTCTGTTTAATCTTGTAATCGTCATCTTCTTCCTCGTCTTTCTCTTTTCCCGCTCACCGAAGTAGTATTTGGAGATTATACATAATCACCACCGCAGTCAAAACCTGCACAAACTAAATTTGGCTGGAGTAATAAACACAACCATAATCAAAACCTGAATACTCCAAGACCTTATTCAATTTGTTGGATTATATCCAATTAAACTCATATTATTCAATCCATCGCCGTCAAAACCTGCCCAAACTCATATGTTGTGAATTTTTTACTAAATAAATAAAATGACACTTTTATTCAATCTGATACTTTGTGAGGAATTATAAGTACAAAGTTTAAACCCATGAAATTTTTAAGGCCTCATGAAGTAAAGTCAGCTTGCCAAGAAAATGCACAAGAAGGAGACACTATACAAAGCATGTGATTGAAAAAGAATGGTCAAAAAGGAAAGAAATTTCTGGAACATGATCTTTTGAGAAAAATAGTAAATAACAAAGAACTCAAACTCAACTTTTGTAGAAGTTGAATTACAGACACTTCTCTAAAGCATCATATTATGATGAGTCTCTTTAGTATCACATTTTGAAAATATCTCATGTGTATTATACATGAATTAACAAAACTCATTGAAAGGATATTATATTAAATCTTATTATGCACACTTATTAAGGAAAATCTAATATTGACGGCATTACTCCTAACATGGTCTATATGAACTGTCCTTTTAGTGAACATTTATAATGCTTACATTTATTCTAATCTGGCATTTCTGGCAAGGGTTTTTGCAGTTAGGAACTGCTGAAAATAGCCCTGAGAAGCCTATATTATTATCTGCAAATGAATTAGCAGACTAGATCACAGAGGTTCCAGATTACTTGAGGTAGTTTTAATATATATTCTCTATTTTGATATTGAACGGGAACATAATTATAATATGACAATAAAAGCTTGAGTAACGTTGCTAAAAAATTCTTCATTCCTTATGCATACTTGGTGAGAATCTGAACAAAAAATGTGAGAATCAGAAATTGAAATAAAGAAACACACCCATCAACGCAACATTTGGGTATGCACCAAGTGTGTGTATGTGTGTGAGTGTGAGTGTGTGTATTACAAAATAAATAGAAAACATACATAAACAACTGCAATAAACTAGCCAATAATATCACAAGTACCACGAGCTAAATCCCAGAGCAACGTAACGGTTCTCTTTAGTTACAACAATACATAGAACATAAACCATCAAATCAACAACGCTTGAAAGGTTCATTTTTCCTTACTTTCTTTTTGAACATAGTAACTAAACCTAGCATTTTGGTGAATGTATGATGAAGTTCTCCCGGAGGAAAATTGTGAGGGGCACTCATTTTCGCAAACCTCACTTGCATACTTTCAGTGTATAACCTTCCATATGCTCTATAGTAATCTGGTCTCTTATTCTCTTCTTGTTTTTTGTTTTTTTTTTCTAAGCAGGTGGTCAAATTATCCACACCCTTGGGTTT